TGTTATGTTTGAGTTTTCATCTCATTTAAAGAGTTCTATATGGACAATGTTGGACAATTCAAGCAAATGTAAATCTGAATGGGTTCCTGATAGGAATTTATATTGAATAATTAGGCAATTTTACGGAGATTAGTAATTTTTAATTTTTCGCAACTCAAAATAAAGATTCTCTACTTCTTTGTAACTATAGTTAATTACTGATCCCTTCCCATACAAAAGTTGCTAGTGTTTTTGCATCTAATATACAGTTAGTTCCTATGGGATAATCTACTCTGTATGAGGGAGTAGTACCTCCAAAGCAATTGAGAGAGTTGAGAAAAACTTGCATGCCTTTCTTATTATGATGAAGCAATATAAATAACCCTAAAATAATAAAGTCTTAATAATCCAACTAATGCCCAACATAAGGAATAATAACATCAATTAACCAAAACTAATGACAATAACATAAAAATAACTCTGCTACTCAACGCCCCATGCTGTAATCCTTTGCCCGTGCAGGAGCTTGTTGAGTCCTTGTAGGATAACTTCCTACAACTCCATCCTCCCTACCCTCTCCTCTTGCTGGGTTCCTATCAATACTCCCTTGTTCCACTTCAACCTTGTCCTCAAGGTTCTGAGACAACTTCCTGTAGATAACCTTGAATGCTGCAGCATCCTCCCAAGAGGTGTCTTCTAGTGGTAAGCCATGCCATTGAACTAACAGTTGTGGCACATCAACCCCTTTACATGACACAATTTGGTGGCCAAGCACGGCGAGGGGAGTGATGTGTGGATGTCCTCGGTAGACCAAAGGAGGTAATTGCAAGGGTGTGACTGTCGGAACAGCCGAACACGATTTCAGTAAAGACACAAGAAATACAGGCTGTATTTTGGACCCTTCCGGCAAAGCCAACTTGTAAACAACTTTGCCAACCCGCTTTAGAATTGCAAAGGGTCTAGAGTATTGCCGCTCGAGCTTGGAATAAGCCTAGCCACTCATCGATAGTTGACGATAAGGGTGCAATTTCAGGTACACCTGCTGACCCACTTCAAATTCCATAGGTCGCCGGCATTTGTCAACTTGGCTAACCATATGTTGCTGAGTGCGACCCAAGTTTTCCTTTAACTCTTTCAAAATGCGGTCACGGGAGCTAAGTTCAAAGTCTACTACATCCACATTTGATTCACCCAGCACATAAGGTCAGATCATCGGAGGCTCCCTGCCATACACTAGAAGTAAAAGGTGCGGTTCTGGTTGAAGTGTGGAATGAAGTGTTATAGTAGAATTCTGCATAAGGAAGGAAATCCAACCACTTATCCTGCTGGTCCATCACAAAGTAGCGCAAGTATTACTCAAGGAACTGATTTGTTACCTCTGTTTGGCCGTCCATTTGCGGATGATAAGCTTAACTGTGGAGGAGGGTGGTGCCACTGAGCTGAAACAATTCTTGCCAAAAGTTGCTCAAAAAGACAGGGTCCTAATCACTGAGAATTGTCTTAGGTAAGTTGTGGAGTTTATAAACTAAATGAACAAACAAAGTAACAACTTTGGCTAACGTAACACTGAGCTGAAACAATTCTTGCCAAAAGTTGCTCAAAAAGATAGGGTCCTAATCACTGAGAATTGTCTTAGGTAAGTTGTGGAGTTTATAAACTAAATGAACAAACAAAGTAACAACTTTGGCTACCGTAAACCCACGGGGAGGGGTCCAAAATGCGTATATTTGGTCAAGCAATCTACCACCACTAAGATGACCGAAAACCCAGATGACAAAGGCAACCCCGTGTAAAATCAAGAGCTACCTCCTCCCAAATCTGAGCTGGTATAGGCAAGGGTTGCAGAAGGCCCCCAGGAGAGCAAGCTTGGTACTTGGCCTGATTACACACGACACCCTTGAATGAAATCCTTGACGTCTTTGCCCATATTACGCCAGCAAAAGTTTAAAGCCAGTGTATTTAGAGTTTTTCGATAACCACCATGATTGCCCAAGGGTGTGGCATGAAACTCCATGAGAAGTTTTGTTGCCTCAAGGATCCCACGGTTGGAACCACCACATGACCATGATAAAACAATAATCTATCATGAAGACTATAACCAGGAGGCCCAATGGTGCTGCTATGAAAGTCAGCTAGTAAAGTCGCACAATGAGCATCTACTGCTAAACTGTCGCAGATGTTTTGTAAAATTTCAAAAGTAGGAACTAACAAGGCTAAAAAATATTACTCGACCGAAGGTAGTTCATCAGCGAATTGGCGCAAAAGGGCATCGAATGTGATGTTGTCCTTTCCCCGCTTATAACTCACTACAAAATCAAAACCCAATAATTTAACCAAATAAGTTTGTTGTTCAGGGGTTTGAACTACCTGTGTAAGAAGGTTGTAAAGGCTTTGCTGATCGGTACAAATGATAAACTTATGGCCCAACAAATATTGGTGCCAGCACACAATTGCTTCAGTAACAGCACATAATTCCCTGGCATACACAGAGGTGCGTTCCATCCTCGAAGTTAACTTCTTACTAAAATAGGCAATGGGATGCTTGTGCTGCATGAGTACCGCCCCAATACCTTGCCCAGAGGCATCAGTTTCAATCACTAAAGTCTTAGCAAAATTCGGCAAGGCAAGTACAGGTGCCTCAGTCATGGCACACTTCAGGTTGTCAAATGCTTGTTGTGCTTCCATAGTTCGGCAAAATTTATCTTTTTGTAGGAGGGACATTAGTGGTGCTGCAATGTGAGCATACCCATGCACAAACCAGCGATAATACCCTATCAAACCCAAAAACCCCCTCAACTGGCGAACATTGGTCGAAGTTGACCACCTTGCCATGGCTTGAATCTTGGAGGGATTCGGCTCAACCCCTGCACCTAAGACAATATGGCCCAAGTAATCAATTCGGCTAACCCCAAACAAGCACCTTCCTCGATTCGCATAAAATTGATGAGCTTGTAAGCAATTAAGGACCATAGTTAGATGTTCAACATGTTTAGCCTCCCCCTTATTGTAAACCAGAATATCATCAAAGAAGATGATAATAAATTTCTGTAGGTATGGTCGAAAAAGATCATTTGTGGTAGCCTGAAAAGTGGCCGAGGCATTGGTAAGGCCGAAAGGCATCACCACAAATTCGTAATGGCTGTCATGGGTCCAAAAAATCATCTTTTCAATATCAGACTCTACTATCCTTATCTGGTGGTAACCCAAACGCAAATCAATTTTGGTAAAAATTGTTGTGCCAAACAATTCATCAAGCAATTCATTGACAATAAGGATTGGGAATTTGTCTGGCATTGTCAACTGATTAAGAGCCTGATAGTCCACACAGAATCACCAAGACCCATCCCACTTTTTCACCGACAAGACTAGGGATGAAAAGGGGCTTCGGCTTGGTCGAATAATGCCACTAGCAAGCATGTTATGGACCATGTGCTCCAACTTCCGTTTTTGGAAGTGAGGGTAACGATAAAGACGCACGCTAACTAGTTCAACGCTTAACCGGAGCGGAATGTGATGATTATAGGCCGTTGAGGAGGCAACCTAAAGGGAGTATCAAAAACTAAGAGAGGAGAGTGGTTGGTTAAACCGTAAAGGTGATAAGTATCAACCACTGAATGTACCCGAAGAAGTCGTTCCAATTGGTGCAAGTGAAAGGGTTCTACACTCTGTGATTGTTTACCTTGCAAGGTCAAGGCATGGCCAAACCAAGTGAAAGACATAGTGAGGGCTTTGTAATCCATAACAACTAGCCCCAAGGTGGCTAACCACTGCACCCCCAACACCATATCAACCCCATGGATTGGAAGAACAAACAAATCAACAGAAAAGAAATGACCATCTAACTCCAAGGCAACCCCCGACCACACTCTTGAACAACTCAAAGAATCCACATTGCCAATGAGCACTTGAAAATGGGAGGAAGAAACAATAGGGAAACCCAAATGAATAGCAACCAGCTCCTATAAAAAGTTGTGAGTAGACCCCCTATCCACCAATACCTCCGTCAGTTGGCCCCTAATATTCCCATGCAATCGGATTGTACTAAGACTACATTGCCCCATGAAGGCGTGAAAAATGATAGCTGCCACTTCTGGTTCCTCGACCAGATTAGAGGTCTCCTGATCCTCAGCCACAATCTCCTCCTTGGAGTCATCGACCATTGTCAGCAAATAAAATTTGGCCTTGCAACGATGCCCTCGATGAAAACATCTGTCACAATTAAAACAAAGGCCCCGTTCATGATGCTCTTGAATTTGAGTCGCGGTTAGTTGCTTCACTGGAACAGAAGATGGCTGTGGAGAAGGTAGCACCTTTATCTGTTAAGGAGCAGGTGGAGTCGGTAATAATGGAGGCAAGGAGCTGTCGTTGGCTTTCAGAGGAGCCCATGAGCGAGAAGTAAACAGATGCCGTATTGGCTGCCTCAAATCCCTTAACTTATCCTCTTGCAAATGGGCTAGGTCGAAAGCTTGTGTGAGGGATTGCGGACAACAAGACCGAACTTCCCATTGAATTTCTGGCTTCAGGCCAAACACAAAACAACTTAACAAAAAAGATTTCAAGAGACCAAAGACTTGCGTCAACAATTCCTCAAACGAGGACTGATAATTATTAACGAAACCAATCTGGCATAGTTTAGAGAGCTCACCCTGATAATCCACAAACTTAGAAGGGCCAAAACGAAGCTATAGAGCATGCAGGAAAACCAACCAAGAAGGAAGCTAACCATTGGCGTGCATCCAACGATACCAAGAGAGATCAAGTCCGTCCATATGAAATGAGGAAACGATGAGGGGTTGTGCTGGTGGTGTGTCATGATCTGTTGCACCAGTATCAATAATCCAAGGTGAGAGGTGTGTGTGATGAGATGAGTGTGTGCGTGTGCTGAAGCAAGTGACCATACCAGAAACTCGAGAGTTGCTGACTTGAGGACTAGGAGAGGAAGAAGGTGGTTGTGTAATGGATAGTGAAGCCATGGCTGAACTAGTCTCCTTGGAATGCAAAAGAGAAAGCAATTGTTAGTATTAACTCCTGGTAAGCATCATTGATTCAGTTGAATCCTCCTCATGATCACCATCCGAGAGTACTCGGGAGTGAGTAACAGCTGCTGCAGTGCCTTTAGTTTTCCCATGGAGTTTATGGCCAGGTGGGTAACCATGCAATTTATAACATCTCTCAGCAATGTGGCCAGACATATTACAATGAGTGCATTGTGGTGGATGGGCATTTCCAACCTTAAAATAGTTTTCAAGAGAATGGCTAGGAATCTTACAGTAAGAGCAATATGGGCGATTAATTTTCTGGGGAGTAGACTTGGAGGAATATTTGCTAGAGTGAAAGGTTGGTCTGGCCATCATTGCCATAAGGTCAGGGGAAGTGGTAGAAGTAGTCATCAAATGTTGTCGTTCTTGTTGTTGGATCATGGAAAACACACGGTTAAGAGGTGGGAGAGGGTCAAGTAGCATTATTTGATCTTTGGTGTTTGAGAATGAATTAGACAACCCCATAAGGAATTGAATGACATAGTCTCGGTCATATCGGTTATGGAGGATTTTTAATTTTCCACATTCACAATCAGGAAGAGGGTCATAGATAGCAAGTTCATCCCACAAGGTTTTGAGATGACCGAAATAGGTATTGACATTGTCTTGGTTTTGAGATAAGCTGGCTAAGTCACGTTTGAGTTGAAAAATTCGAGGACCATTTTGATGGGTAAAACGATCCCTGAGTTCCAGCCACAACACCCTTGAATCATCAACTAAAGCAAGACTAGATTTCACAGATGGACTCACAGAATTCTGGAGCCACGAAACAACCAAGTCGTTGCACCTCTCCCAAGCTTCGAAAAGAAGGTCTGAGAGATCAGTGGGTTTAGGCAATGTTCTATTGATAAATGCAAGTTTGTTCTTCACACAAAGAGCTCAGGAAATCGTAGGAGACCAACTGACATAATTATCAGCAATCAAGAGTTTAGAAACAAGAGTAGCAGCTGGGTTATCGCCAGTCTCAATTCGGAATGGGTTAAGAGCGTCAGAAAAATTGAGATACTTGTTTTTGGCGGTTGTATCGTTGGAAGATTTGGAATCATCTTCTTCAGAGTTTGTATCGTTGGAAGATTTGGAATCATTTTCTTTATGAGCGTCGGCCATTGATCGACTGCTCTGATACCATGAAACAAAGGAAAACAAAACAGAGATGAAACAAAAGGAAAGAAAGGAAACGCGAAACAACAGAGAGAAATTTCCTCTGATATCTGGTTTATTGAATAATGCCAATGATACAGATATATACAAAAAATATCCTAACAAACTTATCCGATACAATGACAATACTATCCTTTATGTACAGCTTATTGCAGACTTTGTGTACAGCTCATTACAGAGACGACAAATAACAAATAAAACAGAGAAACAAAATTCAGTTAACCATGCCAGCCTTTTCTTCGTTGACGTGGTGCTGTGATGATTCATCCTCTAATATAAACTTTAGTATTAATGAAAAATTTGACACACACACTAAAAAGAATGCAGAGGAAGAAATGAAATGTTGCTTACTGTTGTAATGTATTATTCACTAATCAACGGCCTTTATACAGGTAAGACACTAACCAAAAAGGCAAAAAAATAACAACAGATTTGGCTATTTAGATAACTCGCACAAGATTGCTAATCCCATAGCCTAGGTAATACAATTTATCTACTCTCGGTTGAATAGGTAAGTGCAACCAATGGTTCCTAAAGATTCAGATTTAGGAGTAGGTAAAAGATGAAAGCCCCGAGTTTGCTTGTAATTTGCAAAAACGTTAATCCGAGTCTTGTTGACAGCTGCAGTTGAGACAGCCAGGTGAAGATACCACCAACTGATTGTGTGCTCCGCACTCCTTAAGATTTTCAATAACTTTCGAATTCTATGCATAATAACCACAACATAACAGAAACAATCTGTTAACACCGAAGAGGAAAAAAATAATTTCAGATAATAGCTTTCTCTCAAACATTGCAAAATGTGAATTGGTGGTTCCCAAACCAATCCCAATAACATCATTCCTAGTAAATTTCGAACTATAACAACAAGAATGCATTAAAACAACAAAAAATATTAAAAATAATAAGAATTAAAAAAAAAATGGTGACAAGACTAGACAAACCCATGGTACCTGAATGGTCTAGCCAAACTTGCCCGGGTATTAACCAAATTAGAAGGGGTAGGTGAAGGCTTGACATTATTGGAAACTGCAAATACATTAAATTTTACAAGAAGAATCCACTTGGCCACAACTTTAACAAAAACAAACATCTCTGAGCCATATATTGACCATGAACCCCAAAACTCCAAAGAACAAAAATAAATATTACATAAAATTTGAGAAATTTCAGAAGGATAAATTAAGAAAAATGCTATCCTTACAAAGACCCCATACAAAGAGAGCTACAAAGTGACATCATCCAGAAGAAAAAAACAAAGAAAAAATGGAAAAAGAGAGAGAAAGAGAGAGAGAGAGAGAGAGAGAGAGACAGAGAGAGAGAGAGAGAGAAATCATGAAAATCAAGGGTGATAATTATCTTTGTATGTCCCCTTTATATGTGTCTTTGTAAAACTAGCATTGCTTATAAATTAATGAGATTATAGTTACTTGTGCATCTGTAGGCTGAGTGATGTCGGATTGAACATAGCAAAGCGACGGCATAGGCCATGAATTTGATGAGATCCGCAAAACCTTAGTTATGGTTCTGAGGGTCCACTTGGGGGATTATTTTCATATTTATCTAACTTCTTCTATATTGCTAGTTAGCCTTAAAATGAATGAACTATCTAAAATCACATTATAAATCTTTCTTACCTAAATCTTTCTCATGTTTATATCACAATTTTAAAGAGTGTTGTTAAAAAGGAGAAAAGTAAACTCAGAAATAAAGAAATCCAATGTTTTGCTCTGATTTACAATGTTAGAAAAAAATGGAATGAAAACTCCTTGTTTTTCTTTCTCGTGATAACTTGAAAAAGTTTTGGAAGATATCTCCCTGGCAAGTTTTACGGCACTAAAGAAAAAGTCTCTGAGCATCTGAAATTGCTCTTCGAATATTTGTTAAGTTTTTCAGCACTGAAGAAATATTATACAGTTGAACCAGTTTCTTAACACTCACTTAACCAGTTTGCAAATGTTCCATGAGGCAATCAAGATGTTTGAGGCTGTAGAGCAATTCTTTCCTAAATCTGAAGCGGAAATCATTCTATGAAATTTTCAACAACTTCTTTCAGGAAACCTTTCTGTATTCTTTTACATGTCCATTCAACAATAATCCTTCCAATTGGATACTTTTCATTAGGGGTACTCAAAAGAACCGATTGAAACTAGAACCGGCGCGTACCCATGGTTTGGTTTAGGAACCGGCCGTCAACGGGTAGGTTCCGGTTCCAAATTTTTGGAACCGTTACTGTGCGGTTCCGGTTCCAGTTTCTATAGTTAGGAACCAAAACCAGAACCGGGAACCGAGACTAATATAAAATAAAATTAAAGAATAAAGGGGTTAATAAAAACTTTTGTAGAAAAAATAATGTGAATATATTTATATTTATATTTCATAAAATTTAAAGTAAGTTGGTTTGACTTTTGAGAATCTATCTTTACAAAGTAATGGAGTTTGTAATTTTGAATTTATAATTTATAGTTTTATTTTTGTTAACAAGTGCCAGGTGGGGGGTATTTGTAAGCTTTTAAGGGGTTTCTTGCCATTTTAAAAACTTTTGGGGGGTCATGAATTTTACAGGATACCCAAAAGGCCAGAACCGGAACGGTTCTGGATACCTAGGAATCGAAACCGTCGATTCTGATTCCTTCAAAAAATGCAGGGTACTCGAAATCTAACACCTCTACTTTCCATATATTTTATTGCTTGAGGCATGACAACTGGATTACTAGAAGAACAATTTCTCCCAACTGAAAAAAAAAAAAAATTACTAGAAGAACAATTTCTCCCAACTGAAAAAAAAAAAAAAAAAAAAAAAAAAGCCATTAGGTGTAAGTAGGTGTTTGCAGTGAAGGTTAATCTAGATGGATCAGTGGCATAGTTGAAAGCTCGATTGGTTGCTAAGGGTTATGCTTGTTAGTTGCTGATGGGGTTTACGCAGTGGAAAACAAAAATAAAATCCCCAACAACAACATTAAACCCAAGAACCTTATACCCGATTTACGTTATTTGCATATGAAATGATATTGAATATAAAATTTCCAGATTTCATACCAGCGTTTGGAGGCTCCTTCAATCAATACGAATTGCTCTTGCTCTAAGATAAGAGTGAACTCTCGGTATCCACACAAAGACAGGATGGCGATCGACTTGAGATCTCAAGTGCTAGCAAGACACACAAGCAAAAAAGAAGCATAATTTTTCTTCAAGAAAAATTCTCTTCTCCACCAAGAGAAAAACGTGAGACAGAGTGAGGTGAGTGGCTTGGATTTAATTAATGTGTTCTCCAATTTTATTTTAATTGTAAGTTGGCTTTTATATGCAACAAAAATTAAAACCTTAATCTAGTTAAGAATAAATTTATTCCATGACTAGAATAGTAAATCCTCATTACCAGCCAAGGTAATAATCCACATGGCATCTTATTCAAATTCAAATATGGTTTTCATATTCATATATTATCTTTATTAATATCATCAAATATTAATATTGAATATATATTTAAATTCAAATATGAATTTTGTATTTCATATATATTATCTTCACCAATATTAATATCCTCAAATATTAATATTAAATAGCTTTGAATAGAGCTATGTTAGGCTAGTGTCAAACTACATCAATTGGTGCATAAGGCACTCCGGTGATCTCAAGTCTAAGGATCACATGCACAACCATTCGTCAGAGGATTTATTCCATAGAGACTAGGGTTACCATCTATATGGAATCCTCTGGTGGGTCAGTCCAATGAACTTACCTACAGCAAGTACCCATGTGTCGCACCAGGTTGTCGACAAACAACCTTAACAATTGAGATCAGTCAATGTCTTTCGACTATGTCATTCAACACTATGATAGTCTTACCGTATTATCTGTGTCCTTGGTCAGAATAATACTAGGGCTATGGACATTTCTCGAATTGCCACCATATGTGATCATAAGGGTCTCACTATCAAGATTTGAAACACTTGATACCCTCGTCATGGTTCTACCATCCTAAGGACATATATCAATACACGCAATTATGATTTACATGATATAGAAGAAAATTGCNGTCGTGGACTATCCCGTTAACCCCAAAAAACCCCAACCATTGCTACCAGTCTCTTGGCCACGATCAACAGCGGCCACTACTGCCACAGACCACTCACACCACATCTCTCCAGAAAACCAGAACACGAACAAGACCTGGAAAGCCTTGAGCTGCAAGAAAATTGTTGTAATTGTAGCTTCCTCTGTAGCACTTCTGCTGCTAATTGCTTCAATTCTTATCTATTTTGCAATTTTTGTACATGGAAGATTTCTTCCCCCATCATTTAAAGTCAATTCGCTGCGTATAACTCCCTTCGATATCTTTCCTTCTCAGTTAACAACCAATTGGAACATAACTTTCTCCATCACAAATCCTAATCATCAACCACTCAGGATGTTTTACAGAGATGTCAAGGTTTCAATTTTCTACAAGGAGAAAAACATCTCGTCCGTGGCGATTGAACCTTTGTTTTTAAATCTTAATGGAAAGCCAATAGCTGGCTACTTAAAGAGTATTATCAATGGCTCGATGAAGCAAGATTTTGTTGCAAATTGGTCAAGTGAGGGCTTGGTTGAGCAAGATTCAGTGATAGATATGTCAAGCGGCCAAGTGAAATTCACTTTCATAGTAGATGCAACAGTTTTTGTTAATCCGGAAACACCAAAAGAATTAGAAATTATTCCGGTGACGGTCTCGTGTGAGGATGTTACGGTTGAATTTTCATCTCATTCAAAGAGTTCTATATGGACAATGTTGGACACTTCAAGCAAATGTAAATCTGAATGGGTTCCTGATAGGATCTTATATTGATTAATTAGGTAATTGTAGGGAGATTTGTAATTACAGTTAATTACTGGTTCCTTCCCATACAAAAGTTGCTCCGGTTTTTGCATCAGAAATACTCTTAGTTCCCTTTAAAAATTAATTA